CTCTGCCCCTGCACACCCTCCCCCCTGCCCCTCACAATCCTCACTTCCTGGACCCCTGGCGCCAGCACATTCACACCCCGCGGCCCCCCACTAGGAGGGATCCGTATGCATGATGTCTCGAATCCCCCACAGTGAGGGACATGGCCGGGGTGGGGTCCAGGAGGAAACTCGAGTACTCCGCAGGACCTGGGCAGACAGAAGACATCTGGCCTGTTCCCAGGGTCATTACCTGCATTGTCACCAAGAGGCTTTTCCTGGGGGGTGGCCTGGGCCTGGCCTTCCACCGGAGGCTCTTCAGCTGCTTTTGTTATGTGCCAAAGCGTGTCCTGAGGAGAAAGCAGAGCTGTGAGTACAGAGGGGCTCCTCCTGTGGGGAGTACTGGTGGGGTGGGTGCAGATCACCTGGGTGGCTTCCTTGTGCATCTTCTGGATGAAGTGGGTGTAGCGCTCCTTTTTCTGTATTAACTCACTGGGAATCCCCTTTTCACAGATTTTCCCGTCTTCTAGCAAAATGATTTGGTCACAGAACTGTAAATACTGAAGAGATGGAAGAAATAAGGTCTTCAGTAAGCGTACAAAGAGGCGTTCACTATTCAAAAGGAAAACGTGAATTCAGATCATGATATAATATTATTTTATATCACCAGGTTGGCAAAAAAATTAAAAGTTGGACAACCCCAAGTGTTGGCGCTGCCAGAAGGAAAGGAGATGCTCGTAAAATGCGGGGAGGGGTGTAGGTTGGTACAACTCCTTTGGAAAACAATTTGGTAATATCTAGTAAAACTAAAGATTTTTCAAGAATTATAAACCAACAATTCAACCCTTAAAACTCTATCCTAAAAAACTCTCAAACAAGCATAGACACATCTAGACTGATGTACATTGAAGCATTTTTTTAATAAAAGTAAGAAATGGAGGCAAAAACCCTAAATGCCCATCCTAGAGAAGTGAATTCTGGTATTTTCAGGTACATGGGCAACGAAAGCTACACGTGGTCAGCAGAAAACCTAAAAGGTATCATGTTGCAGGAAAGGGCAAATTAGCACAGAGCCCAGGAAGTAGACTATCAACCATATAAAGATTTAAGATGTGGGGAAGGAGATTTATAGTGTCTAAAGATTCACACATATGCTGGAAAGCTATGGAGATGTGCGGGAACCACAAACAACAGAGCGAGGAGAGGAGGGAGGGTCCACATTTGATTGGGTCGTCTGGTTGCCAGACACATGGGTTTTCACTGGATTGCATTCTAAAACTTTTTTATGTCTTAGATATTTTATACCATAAAAAGTAGTAAGACCAAAAGATAAGAAGATGAGAAATAAAATACTGTGTTACGGACAAAACCAAGTATGAAGGCCCTGAGATGGCGGGTTCTTCTCTGAGGGATGTCTTTTCTTTTTTCCTTTAAAGGCACCGGCCTACTCCTAACATTTGGAAGATAAAGGAGACCCTAAAATTTGGTTCTGGTTTTTACCAGCCTATCTGCTTCACATGGAAAGCAAAGGAAGTACAAGTTCTTTACAAAACTCCCCATATTTGGGGGTCCAGTCTGAGAAGAAGGGGCAGCTGCTGTGAGGTTGTCATTAAGTCGCGCTGGAAGGGTGGTCACCTGCAGCTGGTGGGTCACCAGGACGACTGTCTTCCCCCTGAGCGCCTTCTTAATGCACTCCTCAAAGATGTGCTTCCCCACGTGGGTGTCCACGGCCGACAGGGGGTCGTCCAGCAGGTAGATATCACGGTCAGAGTAGACAGCTCGGGCCAGACTGATCCTCTGTTTCTGCCCCCCGGAAAGGTTGAGGCCCCGCTCCCCGATCTGTGGACAGGCAACCAAAGGTACCATGTCCAGAGGGTGAGCACAGCCAGGTGTGCTCAAACCAGCCAGGTGGGAAGATGGGAGAGACTGAACTCCCTCAGCGTACGCTCCTAGACTCTTATTGACTGGGCACCCCTGGCATTTAAAAATAGTTCTCAAAATGTGTGTAGTAGAAAATGTCCTTCAATGGATGACTGGAAAAAGAAGATGTGGAACATATACACAATGGAATACTACTCAGTCATAAAAAAGAATGAAATCGCGCCATTCATGACAACATGGATGGATCTTGAGAATACCATACTAAGTGAAATAAATCAGACAGAAATGGACAAGAACCACATGACTTCACACATAGGTGGGATATTAAACAGAAAGCAACAAATGAACAAACAAAACTAACAAATTCATTGACACAGACAACAGCAAGGTGGCTGTCAGAGGTAGAAGGGGTGCAGTTGTCTGAGGCTCACCTAAAGACAACGCACTCAAAGTTGCCGGACTAGCACTTTGCATGGGGTAAGTGGTCACCAGACTGCACCATGATTATAGTAAAATCACTGCTACTTATCTTAGCAGGTGTTATGTGGAGTAAAGGCGGCTGCAGGTGTGAAAGATGAATTATCCAAAAAATGCAATGGTCAGAACTCAAATTGCCGCGTGGGACCATGGCTGATGTTCCCACCGGCGGAGGGAACGATGGCCGGTGAGGGACAGGCGGGTGGGCGGGGGAAGGGGGCACATGGGAGGCTTCTTATCTTCCCAACTCCCCCCCTTGATGGGCAGGCTCTGAGACAGCAGCCGAAGGGCCAGCCCGGCTGCTCTAGGCAGAAGCTGGTCCCCCTTCTAGTACCCAGGGAGGCAGCCTGGGGCCCCAGGACATCACACAGAGCTGGAGCATGTCGCCTCCCGCTCACCTCTGTCATGTCTCCGAAGGGCAGGCTCTCCAGGTCGCGGTCCAGGCAGCAGCAGTGCAGCACTTGGAGGTACCTGCGAGTCAGGGAGCTGAAGAGACAGGTGGCCACAGGCCCTCCAGCTCCCCAAGTTTGGGAGGGAGAGGTCTTGCATTCCATGCGAAGACGTTTGGATTTGATCCTCAGTTGAATGCAAACACTGGGAGCTTTTTTCATTTCCTTCCTTCCTTTTTCCCCTTTAATCTAATGCATGTACTTAGTGAATATCTGAACAGAACTAAAAGAAGATATAGTGAGAAGCAAGTCCCTTGCGCGTCTTTGACCCTCAGTGGCTTTTCTTAGAAGCAGCCACCATTACAGTTGCTTATGTATTTACTCAGAAATAATCTATTCCTACACATACGTGTGCAGCATACACAGGCCTCTATTGCTCTACCGGCTCCATCGTTCTCCACTACACGCTGCACCTTAAGTTATTGGACCAGCACCCCCGGGATGGACACTTGGGCTCTTTCTGGTCTTTGCTACTGTGAACCATGTGTAGTATGAACATGCTTGTGCGGGGGTCTCCGTGTTCACGGGTGAAATTACCTGTGCATTACATACACACCCAGCCATGCTTATTTTGGACAGATATTTCAAAAGCGCCCTGAGTCGTGTCAGCATAAGGGCAGAGCAGTGACCAGATGAGGGCTGTGTGTTAGGACCACTGCCCTGGGGGCAGAGCGGGAGGAGAGTGGAGCAAAGTGCCAAGGACCAGGGAACAGTCCGAGCCAGAGAGCACAGAACGGAACTGGCTGTGGAGACTGAGAAGAGAAGAACATGAGAGACAGGAGGCGACAGAGCTGTCCAACGAGATGGACGCTATCAGAGGAGGCCCGGCTCTCTAATGCCACTAAACTGAATTGAGCAATTTGGGGTTTGGGCAAGCAGGGTGTTCACTAGGTGGTATTGGACCTGAGGTTGAGGAGCTCAAGGGACAACCGGGTGGAGCTGGACAGTGTGACAGCCTGTAGGTCTATGCCCTCGGGGCTAATATTGGGGGGGAGGGGCAGATTGCAAAATCAAGCAAAGAATCAAAGGAGGCCGAGGCCACCAGAGTCCGGCCAGCTGTAACATTCGGGCAAGTTTCCCCAGACCCCCCACTGCACAGACCACTCATGACTCCCAGGGGAATGTGTCAAGCAGGTCACCTGGCACCAGGAAGGGAGAGGCCCTCAGGCCGTGAACCCAACTGGATTCCTCCACCTTGACAACCTGGTGGCCCCATTAACTCACCTTCTGACTTAGGGTTGGGGTGATTTCATGCAAACACATGTGAAGCAACCTTTTGCAGGGGGAGGGCCCGCAGAGTAAAGCAGTTGAGTGTGAAGTTTCTGAAAGCAACTGGGTTCAATCCCAGCGACATCAAATCCCACAAGCTGTGTGACTTTGGGCAAATTACTGAACCTCGGGGCCTCAAGTGACTGGTGTAGAAAATGGGTTTGATAATGACCTTTCTTTCACAGCGAGGGCTACGGTGGCGCCTGTAAGCCAGTGCACAGCAAGTTCAGCAGCTCTCAAATTACCATGCGTAGCTGGGGGTCCCTCCCCAAACCAGCCACACACCCTCTGTCCCTCCTTGCCCCTCCTAGAGCCTTACCAGGCCTGGTCATACTGGCTTCCCAGGAGGATGTTGTCCCTTATGCTGCCCATGAGGACCCAGGCCTGCTGGGGGACGTAGGCGAGGTCCCCATGCACGCCCACGGAGCCCTCCAGCAGGTGCATCTGTGGGACAGTGAGCCCAGCCTCAGGACAGGTGGCCAGGGCACGGACCAGGGCCCCACCACCTTCAGGACCCCGGGGACTTGGACTAACTTGATCCTGCCGGGCCTACCGGTGCGCGAGGGAGTGGCCCTGAGAATGGAGAGCTAACCCCGGTAGGTCCCCGCGGGACTGAACAAGGGCTGCGCTGAAGACGCCCCATACTTCAACCCTCTTGTCTCCCGGCCCCTTTCCCTAGTGGAAAGCCCCAGGCCATCTCTGCGCATCCCTGGACATCCCAGAACTATTCCTAATGTGATAATGTCATCGCGGTTAGATGGGAAACGGTGCTCATGCTTTGGACGTCGCGATGAAATAGTGGGGAAGTGTCACCATCTCTGTAATTTAAAATAGTTGCAGCTTCTGCTTTGGAACTAGGCTTCCATGAAGAACAAATCTTTACAATGACACCCCTCTGCTTTCCTTTACGGGCAGGAAAGTGGCTGGTTCCCTTGAAGAGGAAACAGAGAAAGCAGTGGCCACTGGGGCAGGTAGCCTTGAACGAAGCCAAAGCCGCCAGGAAACACAGCCGTGCTGAGGGGCAAAGCTCTGGTCACAGCCGGGGACTGGCCTTGCGCCCGCACCGCCCCTTCCCCCGTGGGCCCTGGGCAGGGCACCTCCTTCACTCACCTCTCCCTCGGACCATGCACCACTGTTGGCAATTTGTCAAAACAGGTTTGGCTCCACCACCACCCCCCCTTCAGGAAGAAAGTGATGGTGCCTCTGACTCCGGGAACCTGAGTCTGGGGGCGCTGGTCCGCCTGAGGGTGGACAGGCAAGGCCGCAGGTCACTCACCTCCCCCAGTATGGCTGACAACAGGCTACTCTTGCCGCTCCCGGTGCTGCCGAAGACCCCTAACGTGGTCCCCTGCAGAGCCAAGGAAGACAGACAGCGTCAGGAGAGCGCCAGCCTCCCACGCACCCAGAACGGATCTGTTGTTTGAACACAAAATGATAAACCGAAAACAAAATAACCACACCCCACCCCCCCCCAAAGCCCTTCAAACAAGCAAATCTCTAGAGGAGATCTGAGGTCGGTCTACAGAGGTGGGATGGGGCAGCCTCAAAGGAGGGCGATGGAATGACACTGGCAGAGAGAAATTCACGGTCCTGTTAGGCAAGAAGCCCAATCCCAGACCTGCCTGCATTCTACTCTACAATTCTGGGGAAGTCACTTCGCCTCTCTGCACCTCAGTTTCTTCATCTGTAAAATGGGGACAACAGAGCCAGCTTCAGTGAGTTCATGCATTCATTCGATTGATTCATTTATTTTTTCCATCAAATAATCATTTGGGGTCCTTCTCTGTACCAAGTAATGAAGAAAAGAACTCTCATTGAGCTTACATTCTAGTGGGGGGAGAAAAACCATGCAATAAATAAGCAAACAAACAAATAATATCAGATGGTGATAAGTGATATAAGCCAAATGAAATCGGCTACTATTTCAGAGAGTTGGGGGTTAAAGCAATTTTAGATGGATTGGCTAAGGAAGGCTTCTTAGAGCAGGTATTGTTGCAGCTGAGACCTGAGAGACAAGAAGGAGCCAGGTACAGGAAGATCTAGAGGTTCCAGGTTATGGGAAGAACAGGTGCAAAGGTCCTGAGACAGGAACGGGGTTGGCTGCCAAAGAGCAGGGCTGGTGAGAGGGCTGGTGTAGGTGGGGTGGGGGGAATAAATGGGAGAAGAAGGCAGGGATGTGGGCAGGGTGCTTGGGGATCCTGGGCTCCCTCCTGAGTTCAGGGTCACTGAAGGGTGTAAGCAGAAGAGTGACTTGAACTGGTGCATGGTTTAGAACAATCCCTCTGTCCACTGCCTGTAGTGAACTGTAAAAGGGCAAAAGTGGAAGCAAGAAGCTTGTGGGAAGGCTCTCAGAGCTGCGGGGAAGGGCAAGGCGGTGGCTGGGCTGGGGCGGTGGAGGGCGCTGTGGACGGAGGTGGCTGGGCTCCCGAGACGTTGAAGTGGACCTGAGGGTCCTGGCTGACGGTCAGTTGGTGGGAGGACGGGGAAGGACTGGACTTTGGCTTCCAGGTCCTCCACCACAGAAGGGCAGCAGAGCCAGCTCCCGAGACGGGGACGGCTTGGAGGAGTCTTGTTTTGTTTGAAATGCTTAGTGGTCATTGAAGAGGAGACATTAAATAAATAGCCAGCTGAGTCTGGAGCTCAGAGGAGACTTCAAAGCTAGAGAAAATAGCATAGAGTGGAACTGAAAGCCAGGAGACTTTTTTTTGCAGGTGATCACCAGGGAGAAAGTGTGAAAAGGTAACGGATATTAGATATTAACACCCATGACTATTAGATGTTAATATTAAATACTATTAAGTATGAATATCTATTTTAGATATACCTATCATTAGATATAGATCAGTGTCTACCTGTTCTACCTATATTCTCATTAGCTATCTATTACCTATTACTAATGTTAATAGATTAAAGAGAAGCGCAGGGCAGACTCTCGAGGACAGAGGAGGGAAGAGCACCCTTGCAGCTATTACTCGGAGAAGCCAGGCCAGCGGAGTTCACAGAATAACTGAATTAAAACATGCAGGAGAGTGCTTGGCACACACCAGGAACTGAATACTTGTTAGCTTACTCTCCTCCCCACCCCCTCTCCATGACCGGCACACACATAGCATACTATTCTGGGGTTTGCCAGGATACTTCAAATTACGAAACAACTTCACATGACCAGCTGATTCACAGGAAAGTATGAAAGGCTTCCTAGATTTGCTCTCCATGAAAATTTTGTATTTTAAAGGAAGATTTGGAGAGGACAGTTTTTAGCCAAAGAAATAGTGAAGCGCCAGGCCAAGCTCCCAGCCTCGGGCCCGAAGCCTGGCAGCTGGCCTGCCCGCACGGCCAGGAGGAGGCTACCTTTGATACCACCAGGTTTATCTTGTGCAACTCTGGAGCCAGGCTGTCCCTTGTGTCCTCTGCCCCGAGGGCACCTTGAGGTGGCTGAGGCCCGGTCGTCCCCTTGGGCCTGTATCTGTTCCTCTCCAGCTCCCAGGCTCCACTGACAGCCCTGGGGCAGGTCTTCTGCCAGGACAAGGTGGCCTCATCCAAAACTAGCGCTTTGCTGGGGTCTTTCAGTGCCTGGACATACAGAACAGGGCTCTCCTGGAGGAAGAACTTCTGTGCAGACAAGAAGAGAGGGAGGGAGGGGAATTCAGACCTTCGGCCGGTAGGGATGCATCCCCATTTGCTGCTCAGCCCCTTGGACTGGTTTATGAACTAAGAAACAGTCAAAGTACGAGGAACCCCAGCAATGAAGAAGAGGCTCATTTCTGCTGCTGAAGATTCTGAACCAAGGTTTCCAACGTTCAGAGCACTGGCCACTCACATTGAACACTACCTGCCCATTCGTCATTTTCTATTTTATTTTACATTGACCAGAGGCCTAACCTACATTAGTCTCATCTGAAGTGACAACAGCTGCTGAGTCACAGTATTGATGTGTAGTTTTTCTGCCCATGTACCATACTGCAAGAGATGCTGTTCGGGGTCATAAATTTCTTTTTTTTTTTTTTTTTTCAAAATACATCTTTATTGACTTCAGAGAGAGGAAAGGAGAGGGAGAGACAGATAGAAACATCAATGATGAGAGAGTCATTGATCGAGCCCGCAACCCGGGCATGTGCCCTGACCGGGAATCGAACCCGGATCGCCTGGATCCCAGGTCAACGCTCAACCGCTGAGCCACGCCTGGCCGGGTGGGTCATAAATTTTAAAGTGTGACCCTTGACAAGTCACTTCCCTCTGTATCTCCATCTCCCTATCTGTAAAACACAGGAGTTAAACTATGTGAGTTTTAGCCTTTAAAAAAGGAGGGTGGGAAGGACGATTCCACCAAAGTCGAATCAAATGCTCACGTCTCCGCCTGGAGATAGGCTTAGACCGAGATCTACACGGAGACCTGGTGACCTTCTGGACGATGGTTTTAGGTCCAGGTGGCAGATGTAGAGGCATTTTTATTCTCTGCACCTTTTGGTAGAGTCTCAACATTTTCTAAAGAACACATAGCATTTTATAAAAAAACAAAGCAAAAAGCTATTTTCAAAAGAAAAAAAGAAGTCTGTTTCTTCAGTTTTTAAAATTGTACCTCAAGTCTATTTCACTGAATTAATGATAACATCCAGGTGAAGGGACACCATTGTCATTGGGAATTGCACATTCCTTTTATTTTGGTTGTCAGTGGGTGTTTGTTATCTTTAAAAACATGATGGGTGTCCCTGAGCCCACCACTGACCCGAGGAGCCATAACTTGCAGCTCTCTCTGGGCCCTTCCCCATCTCATCAGCCTGCTTGGTGGGCACCAGTGCTCCAGCCCTCCAGGCTCTCCCTCTCACACCCCCTGTAACCACTGTCCACACTCAGGAGGAACATCATGGGGCTGAAGGCGAATGGACACCCAATGACAAGGGCCGAGCAGCCCGCCTGACCACTCACCTTCAACCTCTCTGCCGCAGGCCTGGACTGAGAGAGGCCTTTGATGGAGAAGGGCATGAGTAACACCGACAGCCGCATGGTGTTCCAGATGGCCATGACGGTGAAGGCCTTGGTGAGGAGGGGACGTGTGAGGGTCACAGCTCTGCCCGCTCCCCACCCAGGCCCCAACCCAGAGCCTCAAGCCACAGCACTGGACAGTGCAGCTTCCCACGGTGGGTCCTTCATTTGGTAATGGCCAAGCTGGTATTTTGGGGAGACTGAACAAATGGGTGGAAAAGAGCAGTTGTTTTAAAGTCTCCGAGTCCAAAGGCCTGGTTCCTCGTCACTTAGCCAATGGGCAGTTCCATAACTGTGGGTGGGTCAGCCCTCATCACAAGCTCAGTTTCCCCACGGGCATCGTGCCAACGATTGTAAATTTGCTACAGGAAGGGCGTTTGGGAAGCACCAAGAAAATAGAGGTGAGACAGCTTTGTCCACCATCAGCATAGCTCAGTACTGCTATTGCTGTTAAGACCATATTTATTCTTCTTTGCCTAAGGGGTTCTTTTCTTTTCCAGTTTTCAAAATCTCCCTACACATCAAGCCTGACCCACGCCTCACTCTCCCCAAGAGAATTCCCCTGCCTACAGCAAATCTTACCCTTGGCTTCCAGGACCCCAGCAGATGAGCTCCTGCAGGCACTTCGGGAACCTAGTGCTGTAAGTCCCATCCCCACCCCCTTCTTTCTCCAGCTTAATCTAAAGATAAACTTCAATGGGACAGAAATGCTTGGTGTGAGCGCTATGTGACCCCAAGGTCTCATGGGAAGTTTTCCTTAATGGCCCTGCTTCCACCCTCAGGCTCCTTGGAAGGGTTTCCCTGGTGTGTGCCTGAGCCAGGCAGAGAGGATGCTGTCCGGTATAGTGAGCCCTTGGCTGCAGTCTCCCAAATGATCCCCCTCTTGCTTTGGGTGCAGTCTCTGGGCCTCCCAGCTGTATTCCTGCCTCTCCAAGATCAGTCCCCTGACCTATTCTCCTCAAAGAACTGGGATCCCTGACCCTAAAGGCAGCTTCTCAGTCCCAGGACCAGGGTCAGACCACAAAGGGAAAGACAGAGGAAACAAACCTTTTCACTTAAAATGTATTTTCAAGGCTCTATTTTGGCAACAGAGAAACTTATCCATTTAGGATTTCCACCCTCAAGGCATATGCCTGGATCATTGGGGTATGAACTACACAGTCCACCTCCCCTGCACCTGTAGATGACCATCACCTCTGCCTCCCACAGCTGCTATCCAAGGGATGTCAGTTTTTCCCATGGGCTTGAGGGCCCCCAAAGCCTGGAAAATTAAAATCAATTTGTATTATCTATTTGCAAAACCATTAAGATCTTTGAGGGCCACAAGCTGGGAAAGGACACATGAGAAGACTTCCTATCAATATGGGAGGAAAAAGAGAACCCCCGAACACTTACTTTGGAAGTTGTGAGCTCCAGCTTTAGGCCTATGTGGGCGAGGAACATCACGACCATGACCACAGTGGGGGTTATAAACAGCAGCATGGTGTTCAGGCTTTGGATAAACCCAGTCTTCTCTATCAGTTTCCTTTCCTTGCTCCTAAGGTCTGAGAGATAAATGAGAAATGCCCCGAAGTTAGCCACACAAATGTTCACGAACACAGAGCACAAAGGAAATCCCCAGAGGGTGAGGGCATGGCCTACCACGATGCCCACAGGCTGCGGGCAGAAAGCCAGCTTTACTGCACCTTTAATTATTTTTGCAAATGGTTTCTCCCAGGTGTACATTTTAACCAGCTTAATGTAGGTGAGAACTTCGCTGGTCACACGGATGCGCTGGCCTCTGATCTCTGAGGTGTGTCTCTGTCTCTTCATAATCATGAGGGTCAGGAGCACCTGCAGTTGGGAGGCAGCAAGGGCATCTTTGGAGAAGGGCGGGAGAAGATTCCCGAAGGCAAACTGCAGATGCGGGTGGAACCTCTGGGTTTAACACAGCGCTGCTACATCCACAGGCTCAGCTCCGGCCCAGCCAAAGGCTTTCGGACAGAAACCTCCTGAGGGCACCTGCCTGCACATCCCGGGTCTTCTCTGTGCCGGGCCAAGCCAAGTGTGGCCGACTGAAGAGAAGGTTTTCCCCCTCTAACAATCACAGTCACCTTCTCAGAGGACTGAGGGAGGAAAACACTCGGTTTCAGTCATTCCGAGCACCTGGAATCCAAGAGTCGCTTCCTGTTTCGCCTCATTTGATGTCACCTGAAATTTAAGCAGCAAATGTGCCCCTCCCCATTATCCGATGCTCAGCCAAATATTAAATCTGCCTATGCTATTATTACATCGACACATTCTGGGTGAAAGAAAAGGAACACAAACCTCAGAGGCTTTCTATCCACCAAGGAAAGTGTGAGACAGATAACCCCTTAAAGAGAGCTATGAGGTGGACCTCAGACACCAGATTCACCTCTAATTTATGAGGTCACCATTGTGGCCAGAGAGCCGTGCGAGGTGGGAAATGAAGCTAAATCTTACCCACAGTGGAATAAACACTCAAGCAGAGTCAACATTTCCACTCAGAAGGGCCCCTGATTACAGAGCCCTGGCAGTTCTGGGGAATGTCCAACATTACCATCAGCAGTAAAGCCAGGAGGTAGCAAGAAGTGGCAATCAGCGTGGTGGGTCCGAGCATGAGGTAGGAGGAGATGCAGGTGGAAATCAGTAAAAAACTGCTTATAATAGTCAGAGGACCATAGTACACTCCTTCAAACAGGTAGTTTACGTCGTTGTTGAAGAAACTGATGGCCCGTAAGACAGCAAGCCCAAGGTCACAGGTCTCATCTCTCTAGGTACCCAGAAGGGTTCAGGTCTTTGAAGGAGGCTCCTATGAGTGGGGAAGTCAGATTTGTGTGTGGGAGGAGTGGGGGTACAGGGCGGTGTTTAGAGCTGCTCTCAGGAAGGAGAGGACATCAAACTGGCCTTGAAGGATGAATGGGATTTTCAACGGGCAGGGAGTGGAGGAGGCAGACATGCCTGGCGTGATTGAGGACTGGAGGTTAACCCAGACTGGCCGGAAGGGAGGAAGCCAACCTAGGGCTGGAGGAGGGCCTGTGGGAGGAGGCAAGGCTGGAAAGTGGCTGATGTCAGGTTCCAAAGAGGGTTGGCTTGAGGGTAAGGAGCCAAAGCAGTGCCATCTTTTCTGAAAATCCAAATGTCTCTCATATAAAAGTCATCCACTTTTATAGACCAATAATGAACTCTCGGAAAGAGAAACTAAAAAAATAATCCCTTTACCATTGCAACAAAAAATTAAGATATTTAGGAATAAACTTAACCAAGGAGATAAAAGACCTGTAGTCAGAAAACTATAGGATATGATAAAAGAGATAAAAAAAAGATATAAACAAGTGGAAGAATATACCATATTCATTGATTGGAAGAATTAACATCATTAAAATGTTCATACTACCCAAAGCAATCTATAAATCCAATGCAATCCCAATTAAAATACCAATAGCATATTTCACAGATCTAGAACAAATATTCCAAAAATTTATATGGAACCAAAGGAGACCCCAAATAACCACAGCAATATTGAGAAAGAAGAACAAAGTTGGAGGGATCACAGTACCAGACATCAAGTTATACTACAAAACCACTGTAATCAGAACAGCCTGGTACTGGCACAAGAACAGGCATATAGATCAATGGAACAGAACAGAGAACCCAGAAATCGACCCAAGCCATTACGCTCAATTAATATTTGACAATGGAGGCAAGAACATACAATGGAGTAAAAACAGTCTCTTCAATAAACAGTGTTGGGAAAATTGGACAGATACATGCAAAAAAATGAAACTAGACCACCAACTTACACTATACACAAGAATAAACTCAAAATGGATAAAAGACTTAACTGTAAGTCATGAAACCATAAAAATCCTAGAAGAAAACGTAGGCAGCAAAATATCAGACATCTCACATAGCAGAATTTTCACAGACACATTGCCTAGGGCAAGGGAAACAAAGGGAAAAATATACAAATGGGACTATATCAAACTAAAAAGCTTCTGCAGAGCAAAGGAAACCAGCATCAAAATGAAAAGGGAACCCACTGTCTGGGAGAGCATATTTGCCAATGATACATCTGATAAAGGGTTAATATCCAAAATATATAAAGTACTCATACAACTCAACAAAAGGGAGACAAACCATCCAATTAAAAAATGAGCAGAAGACCTGAATAGGCACTTCTCCAAAGAGGGCATACAGATGGCCAAGAGACATATGAAAAAATGCTCAACATCACTAATCATCAGAGATGCAAATTAAAACCACAATGAGGTATCACTCCACACCTGCCAGAATGGCTCCATCAACAAATCAACAAGTAACAAGTGCTGGCGAGGGTGTGAAGACAAAGGAACCCTAGTACACTGTTGGTAGGAATGCAGACTGGTGCAACCACTATGAAAAATAGTGTGGAGTTTCCTCAAAAAATTAAAAATGGACCTGCCATTTGACCCAGTGATCCCACCTCTAGGAATATATCTTAAGAAGCCTGAAACACTAATCAGAGAGAAGTTATGCACCCTTATGTTCATAGCAGCCTTACTTACAATAGCTAAGATCTGGAAACAGCCCAAGCGCCCATCAGTAGATGAGTGGATAAAAAAGCTGTGGTACATTTACACTGTGGAATACTATGCAGCTGTAAAAAATGATCTTTTACCCTTTGGAACAGCATGGAGGGAACTGGAGAATATTATGCTAAGTGAAATAAGCCAATCAGAGAAAGACAAATATCACATGATCTTACTTATATGTGGGATCTAACAAACAAAATAGACCCAGAGACATTGAAACATGCAACAGACTGACATATTTCAAAGGGAAGATGGGGGGGCGAGATTAACCAAAGAACTTATATGCATATATGCATAACCTATGGACACAGACAATAGTACAGTGAGGGCCTGGGGAGGGGGGATCAATGGAGACAAAAAGGGGACATTTGTAATACTTTCAACAATAAAGATAAATTAAAACATTAAAAAAACACTAAAAAAAAAAATGGCAGAGCTAGGAAGTGGACAAGGGGTGTTTGTTATTCTGATGCTAAAAATACTTCATTTAAAACATACTGAAAAGAAAGGAAGGGAAGGAGGGAAGGAAGGAAAGTAGGAAGGAAGGGAAAAACAAATGAATGAAT